CCTCTTCTATGCTACTCAGGTACTTTGAGCTTACAGGTATCTTGAACTTGTCAGGAGCTATCACAGAAGTAAAATACTGCAGATAAATTAATCTATGGAATAAACACTTCGACTAACTTAAAATTAACCATAAATAAGTTCATCAGTTCATTAAAAAGTGTGGGCAATAAATCAAGATTGATAAAAGAGATTTAAAAGCTATTAAAGTTCTGTATCTACTCTTATTGATAGTAAGTAAGGACTGCATCCAAAGAAGCCATGACTCTAGTTGAAAATTCATCTCCACCTAAAAAAGGAAAATAAAAACCTAATTTTTCAAACTAAAATTCTTAAGAAAAATGTTTTAAAACAGCAGGATAACAAATACGTACCCACATTGTAGGACAAGAAAAAAGTTTGAATTGTTACTTGTTGCAAAAGGGACACAGGACTGTAGTTTCCAGGAAGGAATCTACATAAGTTTTTCACTATTTCCAATATGCTAGTTGTGGCTGCCTGCAATTGAAACTTAATGAAAACTCAATTAACTCATTATCTTGATTCAATTATCACTTGAGAGTGCATTGCATTACTTACTGTAAATACTGGTCCACTGGCAAAATTTCCAGCCTCTAGTTTCTGAAAAAGACAGTGACCATGTGATTTATTCAGACACAAAAATACCTTTCTATATTACATTATCACCTCTCCTCCAGTGATCGATAACGTACCGATCTGTACATCTCTGAGAGGGACGCTATTTGTGATAGCCTCGTTACGACGTAGCGGGAGTCTTTAGGGAAGACCTTGCGCGCGAAGCCAGCCAGGACAGCGGCAGCAGCTCGCTCTCCCATGGTCAAGTACAGCATCACCTCGTAGCGGGGTAACCAGGGGGCGGGTGTTTCTTTGGAAAGTAAACCGTGATGTGTGAGAATTTGTTATCCTCGACAGAATTTTCCATGATTGACGGACATTACTTACTGGTCAGTTGGCTGACGAGATTGTGGATGAACTGCGGGTGGCTGCGTTTGGCCAACACATCCAGTGCCGAACCCAGTTCTGCTACGACATGGACCATTTGAGAAACCGTTGCGAAACCAGCATCACAAGGTCTCGCCCAATCGATATGAGCACCTGCCAAAATAAATGCGTGCATGGGGAAGCAGACAAAAAAATTTCTGGAGATGCCGGGGATCGAACCCGGGGCCTTTCACATGCAAAGCGAACGCTCTACCACTGAGCTACATCCCCAGATGAGAAGCAATGCTTGATACAAACGACCACATTCAACAGTGTAGACTATCCAGAATCCAGTGCAAAAAATTGCTCTCATGAGCCATAATTTTTCTGAAGAAATTTCAGTATTTCTGAAAAAAGAGAAGCGGCTTTATTCAAGCACTTAAAACTGAAGGCCGTTTCAAGGTGCCTTTAGAGAGGAAGCAAACGCTGTTGCTCTACATAAGCCAAGTCCCAAATAATTAGCTCCATGCTGAAAGAGCCACTTCACGCTGTTGCAATCAATTTGACAGTGCGTGTGTATTATTTGTAATATACTGTCATAGACGGTCACAGACGCCAAACACCGTCCAGAAACGAACTCTTTTCAGATTAGTGTGTTGGCAGCGCTTCCCCCTAAACTCACACAAACGCGGCACCACCCGCGCTGCCATCTACCGCCCGACCGTCGAACCTCTTACGCCGCAGCGATGTCTTGTCTATGCTGCCATCTGGCGGACGAAGTCGGAACTTGCCGTCCGCTGCCGGAGTCGGTCAGTCGGCTCGGCACGGGACGTTCCCCGCGGCCCGCGGGTCACTAGTTGTAGGGCACTTGCACCGCGCCGACCTGGCGGTCCTCGACTTCCCTCTCGGGTCCGGAGGGTAGGGTCATCAGATCCTGGCGGTTGGGGTAGTGGACCTGTGGACCCCAGTGGGGCGTGCATCCGGGGTCCTTGCATGCACCCCCGCCTTTCCCCCCGTGGTTCCCTTTAGCCCC